AAAATACTGAATCAAGTACATTTCAAGAAAAGGAAATACATTTAGTTGAAGATAAAGGTTCAAATTTAGTGGACAAAATATTTTTAAGCCCTCTAGAGATCATTCTTCAATGACAATATTAAGAATGCGTTGAGCCCTGACCAGAAGGTTGCCAGTTTGATTCCATTTCAGGGCAGATGCCTGGGCCCTGGTGTAGGGGACGTGCAGGAGACAGCTGATCGATGTTTAGCTCTCATATCAATGTTTCTCTCTCTCTCTCTCTCACACCGTTCCTCTTTCTTTAAAAATCAATAGAAATGTTTTTTAAAAAAAGAATGCCTTGCTTCATGAAGGATGCATCTGTGTCTATTTTATTCACCAATACAGCATTAGTTTCTGACATTCAGTCTCACACAAAACAGGTGCTTAAGACATTTATATAGCCTTGTTATCCATCATACTCAGGGTGAAAATTTTATTCTTTTTTTTTTTTTTTAATCCTCACCCGAGGATATTTTTCCATTTTTTGTACAGATAGAGTGGGAGGGAGAGAGAGAGAGAGACAACGACGTGAAGGGACACATCGAGTGGCTGCCACCCGCACGACCAACCAGGGCCGGGGACAAACTGCAACCGAAGTACGTGCCCTTAGCGGGAACCGAACCCGGGCCTCTCCGGACCGCAGGCCGACACTCTAACCGCTGAGCCAAACTGGCCAGGGCAAAAATTTTATTCTTTAGTAAACATATTCCTCAGGTAATGCTTACGCCACTTGCGTAGCAAATCTCTATTTTCCCCAAGACATTAAAAATCAAACAGAAATTCATGAAAAAAAATGAAAATTTTGAATTTTTATTTTACTGTACTTGCCACCATTTTATCTTAAGTTATCAACATGTGTCTAATACCTATATATCAGGGATTTTAAAAAATGGTTTCATTTAATCCTCACAAAACCTCTGCAGTATATATTATTGTTCCCATTTTTAAAATAAGAAACTAAACCTCAATAAAGCAAGTAATCATAACTAGTAAGAAGAGTGCCAGGACTTGAACTCAGATATGTGAACCTCCAAGACCCATGTTTTTTGTACTCTTCAACACAGATTCCTCTCCAAAAAGTCTTAGGGAGCTTAACAATGCAGAAACAGTTGTTTCTTAGTGTCATGGAGGACTGGTTCCAGGACCTCCCACATACCAAAATCTAAGGACACTCAAGTCCCTTACATGAAATAGTATAGTGTTTGCATATAACCTAAGCACATCCTCCAGTATAATTTATGTCATCTCTAGATTACTTATAATAAATACTAACACAATATAAGTGCATTATAGTTTTTATACTATATTGTTTGGGAATAATGACAAAAGAATGTCTGCACATGTTCAATAGACACAACCATCGTAGGCCTAACTATATAACATATACCACCACCAACAAAACTTTTTTTCCTGAATATTTTCAATCTGCAGATGCAGAATCCACGGATACAGAGGGCTGACTGTAATTCCTCTCTTTTCTGACATGCTCCTGGCAACTATTTTCCATCCTAGTTAAAAGAGGTATTGGCTTCAATAGGAAGTGAGCTCTTGAATATAACATATTCAGTAGCATAAATGTAACAGTTCCTTCATCTTCCTTTCAAGACTCAGTTTCACAGAAAACATTTACATTATTTAAAGAACACTGATATAAGACACCTGTATTCTTGGGATAGCACAGCCACTAATTAAGATGCATGACTTCACAGACTATTTTCCATCTCTGGGCTCAGTTTCTATGAAGTGAGGGAAGTGAATTAGAGAATCTAACATTATTCCAAAATTCTATGCTTCTTTTAATATAATGTAGATTGCCCTAGCCAGGTAGCTCAGTCAAAGTGTTGTCCCAATAGGCTAAGGTTGTGGTTTCAATCCCTGGTCAAGATACACACTTGAAGCAACCAATGAATGCATAAAAAAGTAGAACAGCAGCCCGGCCAGTGTGGCTCAGTGGTTGAGCATCAACCCATGCATCAAGAGGTCATTGGTTCAATTCCCAGTCAGGGCACATGCCCAGGTTGTGGGTCCAATCCCCAGTGGGGGGCATGCAGGAGGCAGCCAATCGATGTTCTCGCTCATTGATGTTTTTCTCTCTCTCTCCCTCTCCCTGCCTTTCTTACTAAAATCAATAAAGGAAAAAAATTTTTTTAAAAAGTGGAACAACAAATTGATGTCTCTCTCCCTTTCCTCTTTCTAAAATTAATAAAGTTAAAAATATATATACAAGGTAGATCTTTTTTTATATATACTACTTCTTTTTTATTATTATTGATTTTTTTTAGAGAGGAAGGGAGAGGGAGAGAGAAACATCAATGTGAGATCAGCTGCCTCCTGCACGCCTTATACTGGGGATCGAGCCCACAATCTGGGCATTGAACCAGCAACCCAGGCATGTGCCCTGACTGGGAATCGAACCAGCAACTTTTTAGTGCACAGGACGATTCCCAGACAACTGAGCCACACTGGCCAGGGCTATAAGGTAGACTTTTAAAGGTATATTTAAATTTTTAAAAAAATAATAACTATTCAGTATTTCAAATTAACCATACTGGCAAAAAAAGATGACATGAAAAAGATGATTTATGACATCACTGAATGTCGAAAACCCAAGTTTTTGTCCCAGCTCTGCTACTTGTCCTTTGAATCAAATTAAGCACCTACAATGTAGCAGACATTGTTGTAGGCATTTTGAATACAATAGAAAATAAAAAAGATAAGTCTCTATTTTCATGGTGCCTATATTCTAATGAAGAGAGGTAATTAACAAGTAGATAATAAGAAACTACCAGGTAGTTATAAGAGCTTATGGTAGGTAGAATTCTAAGATGGCCCCTGAGACCGCTCCCTTACTATACACAACCTTCTCTCAATTATTCAATCAAACCCTAGTCTAGGTGCTGCTGTGAAGATACTCTGCAGATATATTTCAGGTCCCAATTCAGTTGACTTTAAAAAAGGGAGACTGCTCTCAGTGGGCCTGGCTTAATCAGCTGAGTCTTTAGGAGGGGCTGGGCTCTTCTTGGCAAGCCCAAGAGGGATTCTATGTGACGGAGACTCCAACGATGGCTCTGAAAATGGAGGGCGCCAAGTGGTAAGGATTGTGAGTGTCCTCTAGCAGCTAAAAGGGGCCCCTGGCTGACAGAAAGCAAGGAAACTCCGTTCTACCACAGCAAAGAAGTGAGTCCTGCCACAGTTATGTGAATTAGGAAGAGAACTCAAAGCCTGAAATAAGAACAAAGACTGGCCAACACCTTGATCTTAGCTTTGAGAGACTGAACACAGAACACAGCCACACTTTATTCTCACTACTTTATTCTACTTTAATCTCACTAAGAAGTTGGTAATATAATCTTTATATAGTATGATAAGAAAATAGTCTGTGGATAATTTTCTGAGTGTCTCACATTCTTGTTATCCCATGACAGTAATGATGAAGATAGCTAACAACTATTTCTAGGTACCAGATAATATTCTAAAATACACACATACAGACGTGTGTGTGCACACAGACACACACTTTTAAACTTCACAACAACTCTTTGAGGTCGATATTATACAGATTTTGATTAACAGAGTCTGTTGAACTCAGAAATGGTATCTAATGCTGCAGCTCTGTCTCTCCATCCTTACTGCTCTGTACCACACGCTTTTTGTAGTTTTAAATGGTTTATGAAAAGGCTCTCCTTTTGGCAGGTTTAGACTTCCTGCTTGGTTGGAGTCTCATCTGAATGCAGAACCCCAACTTACACAGAATCACAAAATTGTTTGTGTAACACCATTTACCATCTATCCAAAAGTAGCTTGAAACAGGACAGCAGGTTGGTGCATCAGTATTGCTGGAACATAGCATAGAAGATAGGCTGGCAGACGGTTAAGCCAGAAAGGTAGAAAACAGGTCACAGAATGATGCTTCGACTTTATCCTGCAGATGGCAAATATTATCAAAGGGTTTTATTTTTTAATCCTTACCCGAGGACATTTTTGCATTTATCTTCAGATAGAGCAGGAGAGAGGGAAGAAGAGAGAGAAACATCGACATGAGAGAGACACATTGAGTGGTTGCCACCCACTCGACTCCAACTAGGGACAAACTGCAACCGAGGTACATGCCCTTAGTGGGAACCGAACCCAGGACTCTCTGGTCCGCGGGCCAACGCTCTAACCGCTGAGCCAAACCAGCCAGGGCTCAAAGGGTTTTAAAAAGTGAAATAATGTCAGAGCACTGTGGCAATGGGATAAAGATTGGATGTGACTGGGTTGATACAGCAGGCACACAAGTCAGAAGGGATAGATTTATGAGGTAACATCCAGAAGACTTGGTCATAGAATATGGGCCCTAAAGGTGAGAGAATAGCTAAGGATAATTCTCATAGTTTTTGTTTTTTTGGGTTTTTTTCTGTGTCTTTACTGATTTGAGTGAGAGAAAGTAAGAGAGAGAGAGAGAAACATTGATGAGAGAGAACATCAATTGGCTGCCTCCTGTGCGTCCTCCACTGGGGATTGGGTCCACAACTTGGGTGTGTGCCCTGACCGGGAATCGAACCAGTGACCACTTGGTGCATGGGTTGATGCTAAACCACTGAGCCACACTGACTGGGCAAGGATAATTTTCATGTTTTAACTTGAGTACTTTGGGTGGGTGCTGATGTCCCAACTAAGAAAAAAATGTGTCTGGAAAATCTAGACCAGTCTTTAAAAAATTTTTTTTCACTGTATCTCATTGTATGGATGAAAAAAAAACCCCTGAAATCAACAGACATTAAATATGCCTGAGTAGGTCACAGAACTTGAGTCCAAGTCACCTGCTGCCTAGTCTTGTGCTTCTTCCATTAATAGTAATAACTCTTAATGAGTTTTACTTTGTAGATTTTAGGAACACAAGAACAAAAACCATAAGTTTTACAACTAGAGAATGTCCCTTCCATATACGAACACACTAATAATTAGGACAGTATTTTTACAAAGTTTTAAATACTCACTTCAAATTCTTTCACAAAATAACGGGTTTCACCTTGAATAACTGGTCTGTGATCTAACAGCCTTGAATGAATTTCTCCAAGATCTATAAAGACAAGATAAAACTCAAGGTTAATCCACGTGTAGTGGTACAATCTCTAGCTTGCTTTACTCTTCCTACTCCCCATAAATACATGAAGGCTAAAATCTAGCTTAGACAATGGATTAAAAGGAAATTTTATCCACTGCCAGAGAATTGATACGAGTACTTCTGAAAGCAATTTAGCAATATCTAATAAAGCTGAAGACATGTATACCTAGCAGTTTCATGCCTACCCATGTGCTCTAGAAAAACTCTTACCCAAATGAGACACTTATGAGTGTAATCTCAAAAGAAAAAAGGGAACAATAAAAACATATTCATATGATAAAATACTATAAATGAGCAAATAAAATGAATAAAGTTACATTTATTAACATGGATAAATTCTACAAATATGTTGTACACAAAAGAGGTTTCAATAGGATAAAGCTATACATATGAACTTTAAAAATATGCAAAATGTTACTTCCTTTTGGGATACATACAGAAGCAATAAAACTATAAAGAAAGGTATCATTACAATAAATACTAAATTCAAGACAGTGATTACCTTTTTGATAGCTCTGAAAAAGTCACGATTAAAGAAACATGTTCTGAATTTTAACTGTTTTGAGTGAGTCATTCTATTCATTCTACTTAGTACAACTATATAGTTTAAGAGATAAACCTCAAAATTCCTGGAGGGGCTAAATCTCCAAATAAGAACATATACCATTCATGTTCACATGTAATGAGGCAAACTTCTTTCTTTTTTAAAAAATTTATCTTTATTGTTGAAAGTATTACAGTACAGATGTCCCTCCTATTGAGCTCCTCTACCCCATGACTATTCTGTAACAACCAATTTGTACTTCTTAATCCCTTCACCTTTTTCAGCCATCCCTCCAACCCCCTTCCCACCTGCAACCAACAAGAAGTTCTCTGTATCTATGAGTCTATTTCTGTGCTGCTTGTTTATTTTGTTCGAAGATTCAACTGTTGATAGAGATGTGTTCACTGCCATTTTATTGTTCACATTTTTTATCTTCTTCTTCAAGAAGACCCTTTAACGTTTCACATAATACTGGTTATGTGGTGATGAACTCTTTTAGCTTTTTCTTGTCTTGGAAGCTCTTTATATGTACATCAATTCTTAATGACAGCTTTGCTGGGTAGAGTAATCTTGGTTTTAGGTCCTTACTTTTCATCACTTTGAATACTTCTTGCCACACCCTTCTGGCCTGAAAAGTTTCTTTTGAGAAATCAGCTGACAGTCTTATGGGAGCTCCCTCGTAGGTAACTAACCGCTTCTCTCTAGCTTTTTAAGATTTTCTCTTTGTCTTTAACATTTTGCATTTTAATTACGTGTCTTGGTGTGGGCCTCTGGGTTCATCTTTTTGGGACTCTGCACTTCCTGGACTTGCATGTCTGTTTCCTTCACCAAGTTAGGGAAGCTTTCTATCATTATTTTTTCAAACAGATTTTCAATTTCTTGCTCTCCCTCTTCTCCTTCCAGCACCCTCAAGATGCAAACGTTGGTACACGTGAAGTTGTCCCAGAGGCTCCTTATACTACCTTCATTTTTTAAAATTCTTTTTGCTTTTTCTGATCTGATTGGGCATATTTTGCTTCCTTATATTCCAAGTCGATGGTTTGATTCTCAGCTTCACCTACTCTGTCTCTGGTGTCTGTAAATTATTCTTTATTTCAGTTAGTGCATCCTTCATTTTTGACTGGTTCTTTTTTTATGCTCTTGAAGTCCTCCCTAAGTTCCTTGAGCATCCTTATAAACAAATGTTTTGAACTCTGCATCTAGTAGATTGCTTGCTTGTCTGCATTTTATTTGGTTCTTTTCTGGAGTTCTGTTCTGTTCTTTCATTTGGGACATGTTTCTTATCTCCTCGTTTTGGCTGCCTCCCTGTTTCTTTCTATGTATTAAGTAAAGCTGCTATGTCTCCTAGGCATGGTAGGGTAGCCTATTGTAGTAGGTGTCCCGGAGGGTTCAGTGGCACAGCCTCCCTAATCACTCCAGCTGGGCACTCAAGGTGCACCCCCTGTGTGGACTGTATACCCTTCTGAATTGAGTCCTGATTGCTGTTGGCACATCAATGGGAGGGATTTATCCAGGGTAAGCAGGGGTAAGGACTGGCTGACCACTGACCACCTTGGAGGATCAGCTATGTAGGGGTTCACCACACAGAGCAATACTAACTTTAGCAGGGCTCTGGTACCCACTAAGTTCACCCCTTGAGTGTGTCGCTTGTGAAGGTGGTAGGGTAGTGGTGCCTTGATGTGGTCTGAAGCTGTCCACTGGGTTAGCTGGGTGTGCTGGCTCTGGGGCGGAGACGCAGGCCAAGGAAAGCCACTACCTACCTGTGTTCTCCCTGGGGCTACTAGGCATAAGTTACAAAGTGATCTGCAAATGGCTGCTTATTGTGCTGGGCTTGGAAGTGCCCAGGCAAGGCCAAGCTGTGAATCAAGGCTGCTGCTGCTAGCGCTCGGCTTGGAGCCAGTTAGCTAGAGGTATGGGGTTTGCTGTGAACAGATGCTGATTTTTTTAGAGCTTGTAGGAAAATCTGAAGCATGAGACAAGACAAGCAATTCCTATGATAAAGCCACTGGAAACAACTTGGGGGGCCCGTAAGTTGGGTGGGGCAAGGTCTCAGGGAATCACCAGGGTGGGGCAAACAGTGTGAGCCAGGTTGATGGAGTCTGCCGTGGCGCCATCTGCTCTGTGGGGGAAGGGTGCATCAAAGGAACAATGACCTCTGCCAGTGCTTCTGTCTGGGAAAAAGCTGCCCCTCCACCACTTGCCCTGATACCAAAAATTCAGTTCCTCCCTGTATGTCCCTGGTCCTTTCAAGCTATCGCCCGTATGCTGGAGCTCAGAGGGAGTCTGAGTAAGTCTGTGCATGGGCCCTTTAAGAGGAGCTGCCTGAGGCTCCCTCAGCCTCAGCCTCCCTCAGCCTCAATCCACAGTGGTTTTTAAAGCCAGAAGTTGAGGGGACTTCTCTTTTTGGCATTGGAACCCTGAGCTGGGAGGCCTGGTGTGGGACGGGGACCCTTTGCTTTTTAGGGAGGACCTTCACTCCCTAGGTATCCCTCCTAATTTGAATCTGCCACAAGTGGGTGTGGGACCAGCCCATCCATGCCTCTGCCCCTCCTACCAGTCTCGACGTGGCTTCTTCTTTATTTCATAGTTGTAGGACTTCCATTCAGCTCGATTTCAGACTATTCTGAATGACGGTTGTTCTGTAGTTTAGTTGCAATTTTGATAGAGTTGTGGGAGGAGGTGAGTACTGTGTTTGCCTATGCAGCCATCTTGACTGGAAGTCCACCATGGGGCAAATTTCAATTCTCTATTTTAATGAGTTTTATTGGGACACATTGTGGGAAGTATGTTAAGTAAAAATACATAAATAAAAGTACTATTTTGCTTAAATCCTTCAATGGTTCATTACCTAGAACAACTCTCTGAGAAGATACTAGGAATTCATTTTTTAAAAAATTCTACTTAGTTAAGTTTGGGAAACAGATACAATCAAGTTAGATTCCATTACCTCTGATCTTCTAAGAGTCTATAGCATATATACATGAATTATGAATGCCCAAGTGAGGACTGTGCTTTGCAAAAATTTATGGACCTTATTTGACAAGAGATCTTATTTACAAAGAATACCTATTCACATCTCAATAAAACATCAGTATCTGGCTAAGAGGCTAAAGTCCAAGCGTACTTAGAAGCCACATAAGGAACTCCATGGTCTGGCTCCAGCCTCATCTCCCCACATGTCAGCAACACCAACACTGACTTTGGAGTTATGAATTTATCTCAGCAAATAGGCAAATTCACAAATACGTAATCCGTGAGATGAGGACCAACTACTATCTGCCTGAATGGTCTACTTAAAATGCAAATCTAGCCACATGATTCTCATACTTATTACTGGAAAGTTTACTGCCATTAAAAAAATCTTCTATGGTCTAATTTCCACCAAACTCCACCTCTCCCAGAGTCACACTGTAGCAATACGTGCAGTATCCCAGGCATGGTATTGTTCAGGCCTCCATGCCTTTCTTTGCACATGCTGTTTCAAATCAAGTCCAAAACACCCTGGCCCTTTTTTCTTAACTACTAATAACTTTATTCCTCCAGACTCAGATCAGACTCCATCCTCCAGGAAGTCCCTCTTGTCTCCCAGTCCCCACCTCTAACACCCGCCCATGGGCCAGAAACCCTCAAAGACCCAGGGCACAAGTACTGAAATCATTTATTTACTTGTTTCTCTTTCCTAGACCCTGGCAACAAAATTAAACAAATAAATATCTGTTCACAATTGACAGTCTGCAAATAAGATGAACTAAAAATAGATTTTTTCACAATGAAAAGAATGAATGGTTCCACTGAGAAAGCCAAGGACATTTTAGACATATTTTCAATTACAACTCAATTTTGTATTAATATAAAAAACTTCCTTTGAATTATCTTTCTTTAAAACAGTAAATTAGGCCCTGGCCAGTTTGGCTTAGCGGTTGGAGCATTGGCCTGCGGACCAGAGAGTCCCGGGTTCGGTTCCTACTATGGGCATGTACCAAAAAAAAAAAAAAAAAAGGTAAATTAAATTAAAAACTTCTGTACATCAAAGGATACAAACAGAGTGAAAAGGCAACCCATGGAATGGGAGAAAATATATGCAAATCATGTATCTGAAAACATATAAAGAACTCCTACAACTCAAAAAAAACAAAAACCCACATTATTTGACTTAAAGATGGGCAAAGGACTTGAATAGACATTTCTCCAAAGAAGCTATACAAATAGCCAATAAGCATATAAAAAGATGCTGAACATCACTACTCATTAGGGAAATGAAAACCAGAACTACAAGACTCATTACGAGGGACTAGAAAGAAAACACAAAATAACAAGTCTTGGTGAGGATGTGGAGAAACTGGAACACTTGTACACTGTTAGTGAAAATGTAGTATCATACAGCCTCTATGGAAAACAATATGGTGATTGCTCAAAAAATTGAAAAAGCAAAATTATCCTTGATCCAGCAATTCTAGTTTTGAGTATATACTTAAAAAAATTGAAAGCAGGGACTAAAACAGATAATTTGCATACCCATGTTCACAGAAGCATTATCACAATAACCAAAAGGTGGAAGCAATAGGAGTGTTCATCCACAGGTAAATGGATACACAAAATGTGGCCTATATATATGAATGAACATTACTTAGCTTAAAAAACAATTCTTACATATGCTACAACATGGATGAACCTTGAAGTCAAGCCAATCAAAAAATGACAAATACTACGTGATTAAACTTATATAAACCTGGGGTAGTCCCATTCAGAGACAGAATAGAATGGTGGCTGCCAGGGGCTCTGGGGAGTTAGTGTTGAATGGGTACAGACCCATTTTGGGAAGATGAAGTTATGGAGATGGATGGTGGTGACAGTTGCACACTGTGAATGTACTAATGCCACTGAACTGTACACTTAAAAATGGTTAAGATAAATTTTGTTACATGTATTTTACTACAACTTAAAAAAAATTAAGTAGTTCACTAAGACTACACATATAAACAATTATAATTTAGCCCTAACACCCAGGCACCACTGCCGCACTGCTAATTAGATCTGAGAGACAACCTGAAGTCTAGAAATAGCCACGGACAGCTGTGCTGGGGCTGCCTACAATCCTAACAGATAAGGTTAAAATGAAAAAGGCGACATCCCCCAGTTGCCCCTCCCTGGGTGGTGCTGAAGGGCTCAGGGATTCTTCAACATGGCAATGTGGTGGGGTGACAGAATAGGGATGGAGTTAAGAAAGGTCGGCGACGAGAAACTGGCCAAGATCTTGTTGCGGGAAACGGGTTGTTGTGCACTCTGGGAATCAAACTGAGTTCAGGTTCTGCGAGAATCCCGGCTGTAACCAGGCTGGAACCTCCCTGCTCAAAGCACAGGGCAAACGCACACCTGTACACGTGTATCGAGCTTCAGTGTGTGTTTCTCACTCCTGGGCTGGCCGCAGGGGCAGACAGGGCTAGAGAGCGGGAAAAGCGCTCGACCTCGCGTCACAGCTCCTCGGCGACGAGGCGCAGGCCCCGCCCACTCCGTCTCCGTGTTCCTGGCGTCACGGTGGGGCGCGAGGCCGCGTCCACACAGGCTCTGCGCCGGGGCATGACGGCGTGGGGAGGGGAGAGGAGACGGGCCCGACGCGGAGAGAGACTGGATTTGTTGTCACTAGGGGGCACCGGGCGCAGAGAAATAGTGGGGCGCGGCCACGACTCGGCTCCCCCCGCCACACACCCCCACCCCCAAACGCGAGGCTGCCGGGAGCCGGGGGGCGGCCTGGGGCACCGCCCCGGCTCGGAGGGCGCCGCCTAGGAGCTGAGGCTGCCCTGGAATCCACCAGGGCGCTATCCCTACCACTCCGTACCCTTGATAATGAGGTGCGCTGGCGAGCCCGCGGTCCCTAACGAGTCTCTCTTCTTGTTGCCGCCGCCCGAGGCGGCCTCACAACCCACAGTGGGGTCCGTCCCTCCGCCACTCATCCCGCCGGCTACGCCCACCGTGGCCGCACTGCGCCTGCGCAAACTTGCCCTGCCGGCTTTTCAGGCGCGGGGTTCGCCGTCATCACCGCGCGTCGGAAGCTGGGTCGACCGGCGGCTGGGCCCGGTGGGGCCCTCGTCGTGGAAGTCGGTTGTGAGCCTGAGGAAACCGACGCCGCCATGCCGGCTTGGGGCAGATGCTGCCCGGTAGGAAAGTGCCTGAAAGTTAGAGCTCAGCTCTGTTATTCCTCCCTCACCTGCTGGAATTTATTGTGATTTAGAGAGGCTCGGGGAGAGGGGATACAGTCGCCGAATGATCTTCATAATAGTCATATAAATATGTTATCTATATTATTACCTTCCACCAATATTTTATAAAGCACGTCGAGGAATGTGCGTTGCCCCATTTGGTCACTATAGCAATTGGGAGGAACAGTTTTATAATTTCTTTTCAACATATGAAGAAACTGGATTAGACATTAAGTAATTAAGTCACTTATCAGGCTCATTCGTGCCCATGTGTAGACAAAAAAAATAAATAATCTGTTCTTGCCTTTCATATTTACAAAAGTTCAACCAGTTGTTACATGGGCTAAGATAAAATGCATATAATTTTGTAAGGGACCGGTTTGCTAGGCTGCTTTTCACTGTTCTGGTCATGAAGAGCGTCTGTGGGGCTGCCACATACCAAGCCGCTACCGTTTGGTAAACTGTGGGGTTCATCTTGTGTTCTCACTAAGTCTTCGTGCCTGTTCAAAGTACCAGCGCGGCAACTGCGGTGGCTTTCACTCTGTGTTCCTCGAGTGGTTCTTTCTAAGACCCATCTCTTACTCTCTCCTTTTCTCCCTCCGCTTTTCCTACACAGCCCTTATCCGCAGGGTTCTCCTGTTTAATGCTGAAGAAGGAACATAAACCAACATTTACAACACAGGTCCTCTAAATGATAGGGCGGAGGAAGGTGCAGCACACATATGGGACACTTGGGGGTGGGAAAGGACTTCCCAGAGGAGGCACACGTTTGTCATTATACCCGAAATGAAGAGATGCTAGCCAAGTTGGGTGGGGTGAAGATGGAACTTGGGGTTTTGTAGCAGAGGAAATAACAAACCCAAAGGCAAAAAACAGATTAATAAGTAAATGTAAATTTGGTTAATTGTAAGTTGTTGGGTCTGGCTTCTAACTTTTCTAGTCTTATTTTCATTTCCCAGCTTTAGCATCAACCTCTAGAAAATGTAATTATTTTTAAAGACCTTCATCATTTTCCCCACTGCTAGGCACTTTTCTTCATTTTCTTCTGTACCTACAATCCTAAATTTCCTCTAAGCTGATCTTCTTAATGTCTTTGGACTACTGAAAAACCTTAGAAGGCTTACTATATACAGTGGGGTTGAATGCTTCTCCCACATTAATGTGGCTGTTAAAAATGCAGATTCTGGCCCTGGTCGGTTTGGCTCAGCGGTTGGAGCGTTGGCCTGCGGTCCAGAGAGACCCAGGTTTGGTTCCCGCTAAGGGCATGTACCTCGGTTGCAGTTTGTCCCCGGCCCTGGTTGGTCATGCGGGTGGCAGCCACTCGATGTGTCCCTTTCACATCGATGTTTCTCTCTCTCTCTCTTCCTCTCTCTCCCTCCCGCTCTATCTGAACAAAAAATGGAAAAATGTCCTCGGGCGAGGATAAAAAAAAAAAAAAAAAATGCAGATTCTGGGTTCTGCCTCCAAAAATTCTGTTTCAGTAGTTCTGGGGTAGCTGCTAACTCCCCTTACCCAGTTGCTGATTGATTCTGATACAAGTGATAAAGGAACTCTGGGTACAATAGTTGAAACTTTGGAACCAAACAGAATTGGGTTCAAATTGTGACTCTGCCACTCGCCCGCATTTCCTTTTTTGTAAAATGGCAATGAGATACCATCTTTTAAGGTTGTGGTGATTTAAAGAAGATAGTATCTGTAAAGCACTTAGTACTACAATGCCCAGCACATAGTAAATGCTCAGTAAATGTTATTAATACAGTAAGTGCCTCTATCTCCTTTTATAGTCCTGTATAATTTGCTCTCATTCTTCCAGTCTGCCTTTATCACCCACCAATATGTTGTTCTTGTTCAGCACTTTACAATTTATAAAATGCTGTCACATATCATATATCATGTCTCTTAATCTCATTAATCTAGTTGAAGTAGATAATTAAATAACCATTTTCAGAGGAGTAAACTGGGAGTCAGAGAATATGGTAGTCTCTGAAGATGGCTGCGATGATTCCTCCCATCCCTGTACACACATGCAGCATGCTGCTCCTCCCATCAAAATGTGGAATTTGTTTCCCCTCTCCTTGAATCTGGCCTGGCCTTGTGACTTGCTTTGGCCAGTAGAACATGTTGGAAAAAGTGCTGCACCTTAACATGACGGGCAGTTTCTGCTTTTGCTGTCGTCAGGAAGTCCAGGCTACCCTGCTGTAGGAGGCCATCGTGTGAAGAAGCGCTGGAAGATGAGACATCACCTGCAGAGAGAGTTTGTAGGTGAGAGCTGGGCACCCTAGCTGCCAGCACCAAGGCCCCCCATGTGTGAAGGAGGCTTTCTTGGAGCTTTCAGTCCACACATCAGTCAGCTGAATGCAGACACATGAATTGTAGTGAAGCCAGAAAACTGCCTAATCAACCCACAGTATTGTGAGAGATAACATATTTTTGTTTTAATCCACTAAGTTGTGTGTGTACTTATTTAAATTACATCGCCCTCTCATAAAAAGGATTTGATACTTAAAATGATCTCTATACTTCCACAAGATGGCACCATAGTTATCAAATAGTAGAACCATGGTCAAAGCCCTGATCTTTCGATTCAAAGCTGGTACATTCCAATATAGCAAAGCCCAATCAGCTATGGGGTCTTTCTTCTGTGCCATGACTGTGCCAGACTTATTTCTGCCTCTTTATTTTTAGACCACTCCCTCCCTGAAATGCCCCTTCTGCCTATTTAATTTACTAAACTGTCTTTGTTTTATAATAAAAAATTTGGCTGAACTTTGTCCTTGTTCCTGGGAGAGAACCCCTAAATCCTTGAAATTTCCCAAGTGTGGTGGTGGAGACTGAGTTTAATCACATGGCCAGTGATTCAGTCATCCAGGTCTGTGTAATGAAAGCCCAATAAAAACCTGGACACTGAAACTCCAGTGAGTTTCCTGGTTGGTAATCATGTATTGATATGCTAATATGTAAGGAGAATTGAGGACAAAGAAACTTTGTGTTTGGGGCCCTCCCAGACCTCACCCTATGTACCTATTCATTTGTCTGGTCCTGATGTAAATCCTTACTATAAACCTGTAATCCTAAATATATCACCTTCCTCAGTTCAATGAGTCAATCTAGTGACTTACTGAACCCAAAGGGGAGTGGAACCCCCCAAATTTGTAGATAGTATGCCAGTAGCATAGGTGGGCTGGGAAACCTGGAGCTTGTGGCTGGTGTTTAAAGTAAGGGCTGTCTAGTGGAGGATGGTGCCTTTCACCTGTGAGGTCTGAGCTAACTGCGAGGACCAGTGTCAGAATTCTGTGCAGTTGAACCAACACCGACATGGCACTTACAATACTGTTGTAAGTGCTGCACACACATTAGTTCATTTGACTCTCATGGCGGTCCTCTGAAGTAGGTATTATATTTATCCTCATTTCTCTGGTGAACAGGGCTGAGGCACAGACAAGGTAAATGTCTGCCCAACTTGTATGTAGCAGAAGCAGCCTTGGTCCCTGTGTAGGTGTTTAGGTGTAGATGGTGGGTTAGGAGAAAGGAAAGATTTGTAGGGAAGGAAAAGAGAAACCATAACTAACTCTAACAGGCTAAACGGGCTTTTCAGTTTTTCATCCAAATGCCGTGAACAAACATGTATTGAACACATTCTATGTGTCAAATGCAGCACTAGGAGCTGAGATTTAGCAGTGAGCGTGACTGCCCATCCTTCTCCTTCCTTCGTGGAGTGTACAGCCCACCACAGAGGATAACATGAAATTATATACAGTTATTTATCTGCAATTCTGTTGCTGATAGCCTGTAGATATGTGTTTTAGCTGTTTGATTGCAGGGCTCTGTGCACTATTGAGTTGTGCTGTTTTCCAGGATGGTCAGGTCCAGTGTGTGCCTCTATTTCTCCCTCTCCCTTTCCAGAAACCTTTAAACTGCAGCTCAGACAGCAAGGAGGGTCAGAGAAGGGCTACATTGGCAGCGCTATTCTGCCAGCAACTTTGGCTGGGGTTGGGGCAGTTCTGAGCGTGTCCTTGGCTTCTGAGTGATGGAATCCCAGAGTTTTGAGGCTAAAAAGGTCTTGTGTTATCTCTTGTTGTTTCTGAATAGATGAGACTTTTCTGTATTTTTTATTTAAAAAAAGATTTTTTTCTTTATTGATTTTAGAGAGAGAGGAAGGGAGAGGGAAAGAGAGATAGAACCATCGATAAGAAAGAACATGGATTGGCCACTTCCTGCATGCCCCCCACTGGGGATCAGGCCCACAATGTGGGCATGTGCCCTGACCGGGAATTGAACCAGCAACCTCTTGGTGCATGGGTCAACGCTCAACCACTGAGCCACACCGGCCAAGCTGTATTTTTTAAATAAAACTTTGATATCATTGTAGATTCTCACGCAGCTGTATGACATAACACAAAGAGATTCCATGTACACTTTGCCTAGTTTCCCTCCAATGGTAATATTTTGCAAATGTCAATATCATAACCAGAATATTGACTTTTTTTTTAATCCTCACCCGAGGATATTTTTCTGTTTATTATCAGATAGAGTGGGAGGGAGGGGGAGAGAGAGAGGAACATTGATGTGAGAGAGACACATCGACTAGTTGTCTCCCACACGACCCTGACCAGGGCCAGGGATGAACGGAAACCGAAGTACATGCCCTTGACAGGAATCGAACCCGCGACTCTTTGGTCCGTGGACTGACACTCTAACTGCTGAGCCAAACCTTCCAGGGCCAGGATATTGATACTGATACACTTCACTAATCTTATTCAGATTTCCC